TAAATTATTTTTCATATCATAAAGATACCGATTAGTACAAATAAATACACAATTTCTTGAATAAGCATCAGAGCAAGCCTATCTCGGGAGTCGTGATCTTATCACTTTTCTAAGTCAACACACTATGTACAGATGCCTCACCATATAGCCAACAGATATTCAACGCATATCCTCATGCCTTCTCTTTTACTTCAATGGAGGAAAAATAGAGAGGGAGGAATTATACTTTTTTATATATTTTTTATTTTTTTATTTAGGTAAATAATTAAATAAAAATAAATAAATAATTTTTTTTCTTATTTTCCCTTTAAAATTTTTAATAAGTAAATAAATTTTTTTTTCTTCTTTCCTTTATTCCTCTCAATTCAGTCTAACTGAATTCAATAGAATATGTTTCAAACCTTCACTGGGTCTGAGTCAATAACTCGTAATTCCGGTCGATGATGATAAATACCAAGGCTTGTTTCTCAAAAAGTAAGTTGTCCCATCTTAAATTATCATTTTTAGTTCTGATTTGTATACTTTTAGCCCCAGCGGTTTTCCCATTCGCTCATCATCCATTCCATCTTCCCATCTCAAACTTTGTTCTTAGCAACCCTTCTCCTCCTCCTCCTAGTACTCTTTCCGAGCACTACTCGCGGGGTAGATGAGCGGTTCTCCAGTTCTTCTTCTTCATTCAAATGTGGGACGCTCAGTTCCATTGGTTATCCTTTTTGGAAGAATGACCAACCTGATTACTGTGGCCATCCGGATTTCCTACGTGAAGATTGCAAACAAGAAGACATCACTATAACCATACTCTTCCAGAAGTATCATGTCCTGTACATCAATCAGGACACCCAAATTCTAAAAATTGCATGGATGGATTTCTCCAAAAGCATCTGTCCGGGCATATTTCTTAACGCCTCCATGGACTCCGGTCTCTTCAGTTACACCCTTAACGACGAAAACGCCACCATATTATACGACTGTGCCGCGACAAGTGACCATAATAAGCAGTCCAAAGATCAATTCCGCTGCCCAGTTTATAAAATCCTCCGTGATGCTTACTTTGTATCTCCAAACGCAGGGTTGGGAAATGAAGTTTTCAGGAGAGCATGCAATATTAGTGTTGTGATTCCTGTAATGGAGATGGCGGTCAAAAGGTTTGTGAATCATGGATTGAGTGTTGGTGAAGTTGTAAATCAAGGGTTTGAAGTTGAGTGGAATGTGGAGGCAGAGCATTGTAGGAGTTGCCTCAAGGCAGGTGGGAACTGTGGGTTTTGTTAAGGCAACTGCATCTCCAGTTGTTACCCCACGTGATCAGCAGTCAATGAGACCATGATTTTAGGATTCATTCAATCTGTAATCTATATGTTTATTATACTGTATCACATATTTAGTTTCCATACCAGCTAGGATTTTGTGTATCATATATTTAGTTTCCATACCAGTTAGGATTTTGCGTTGATGCCTCTGTATATATATTCTTCATAAGACAGCAATAACATATAGCTTTGTCTGCTTCAATCTATAACCTTACAGTGGTATCAGAGCCTCAACTGCTCTTATGAGTCTTGATCATGGCCACTCCCGATGAATCCCCAAACTCTGCTGCATCCAAAACCTCCCCAAACTCTGCTGCAACTGTTCTCAATCCTGGACTCACCAAAAATCCATTATCTTTCAATTCCGCCGCATTCCCTGTAAAGCTAACGCCCACCAACTATATGTCTTGGAGGGCTCAATTTACTTCTTTGCTTGCAGGTTATGAACTCGATGGCTGCCTTGATGGTAGGAACCCCTGTCCAGTTGCAACCGCACCAGAGTACAGCTTATGGGCTCGTCAAGATCAACTCTTGCGACATGCTCTTATCACCTCTGTCTCGGAGAACATTACCCCTTATATTGCAGCTGCTGCCACAGCACAACAGGCATGGGAAACATTAGCGAGGCTCTATGCTAATTGCTCTCAAAGTCGGGTGATCACTTTAAAGGAACGTCTCCAAAACATGAGACGTGATGGCTGGTCTGTTGCAAATTATTTAATAAATCTCAAGACTGTTGCTGATGAATTGGGAACCATTGATCGTCCACTCAACGATGATGATCTTACAGTTTATATTCTTAATGGCCTTGGCCCTGAGTTTCGGGAGATTGCAGCTTCTCTTCGAGCACGGGACTCCTCTCTTTCCTTTGATGACTTGCATGATAGATTGGTTGCTCATGAAGAAAGTCTTAAACGAGAAGAAGCCTGTCCTGAGATCACACCGGTGACAGCTCATTATGCTGCTGTTTCCTTTCACTCCAATACTGATTCCTCTTCTTCATTGAGTGCAGGAAACTCTCATTCCTCTCTTGGCTGCCACCCTCTACAAGGATTCTGTGGCAATCGGAATGGGTAGAACTCTTCCAATCGTGGCAATCAAAATCGGCGTCGCAATTTTGGACCTAAACCCACCACTCGGCCCCTTACTTCCAGTTGCCAGCTGTATGGTCGTGCAGGCCACTTTGCTCGAAATTGCCCCAGCTACCGTGTGCAAGCTCTTGGGCCCATGGCAAATTTGGCCTCCTCCTCTCCTGCTTTTTCTGAGGATTGCCTATTGGATTCTGGTGCCAACAACCATGTGACCACTGACTTGGCTAACTTGGCATTGCATTCTGAATACAATGGTCCTGATGAACTCCATATCGGTGATGGAACAAGTTTGCAAATCACACATGTGGGACACTCCACCCTATCTACCCCTCAATCCTCTTTACCTTTGCGTAATGTTTTGTGTGTTCCTTCTGCCTCTCACAATTTAATTTTTGTCTCTCAATTGTGTAAACATGCTAATGTTTATGTTGAATTTCACGCAAATTATTTTTTGGTGAAGGATTGCTACACGAACGAGACACTACTCCAAGGGCCAACCGTTCATGGGATTTATCAAATACCGAGAAAATTTAGCTCCAAACCAACAGCACTAGTGGGAGAGCGTACTTCTTTGGCGATTTGGCATTTACGCTTAGGTCATCCTTCTATAAAGACCCTTAAACAAATTACTAATGTCTCCAATTTACCATTATCGAATAAAATAGAGTTTTCATTATGTGAATCTTGTGCTTGTTCCAAAAGTCACAAACTTCCTTTTTCGAATTCTTCCATTACCAGTCACTTTCCACTTGATAATATTTTTTCTGATGTATGGGGTCCTGTGCCTGTTCCCTCCATTGATGGTTTTAATTATTTTGTCTTATTTACTGACTTTTTTAGTCAATATGTGTGGCTTTATCCCATTAAACGTAAGTCTGATGTGTCTCTTATTTTTCCACGATTTAAAGATCTTGTTTAAACTCAATTTGGGTGCAAAATCAAAAACTTACATACTGATGGCGGGGGCGAATATGTTGCCCTTCGTCCCTTTCTCTCTACCACAGGAATCTCTCATTTTATCACCCCTCCTTATACCCCAGAACTCAATGGCATCAGTGAACGACGCAATCGTCACATTGTTGAGACTAGTCTTGCGTTGCTTCATACTGCCTCCCTTCCACCCAAGTTTTGGACTTATGCTTTTCAAACATCTGTTTACTTACTTAACAGACTCCCATCCTCAATTTCAAAAATTTCTCCGTTTGAAAAACTATTTCATGTTCGTCACAATTTTCGTAAACTTCGTGTTTTTGGGTGCTTGTGTTATCCATGGCTTCGACCTTATAATTCCAACAAATTACAATATCGTTCTCGTCCCTGTTTATTTTTAGGATATTCTATAGATAACTTGGGTTACAAATGCTTGGATTTGAGTTCTCGAAAATTGTTTTTCTCCCGCCATGTGGTGTTTGACGAGTCTACCTTTCCTCACAAATCTCAATCCATTATCCCTATTTTACCCTCTACCTTTTTACATGCCAATGAGTCGTCCTCTACCTCTACCTCTGGTCTTGATCTTAGTAATTCGCCATCGTCACTTGCCTCTCCTATCGATGCTCCCCATGAATTGGTGGCTCAAGAGGTGCCTCTTCTTGTAGCTTCTCCTTCATCAATCCCATCACCGATTCTGGTACCAGCCCACCTACCCGCCCAGTCCAACTCCCCCAGCCCCACATCCTCTGCTCATTCCACTCCTCATCACACCTCCTTATCCCCAGTCTAAGTCTCACAACCTTCCACTTCCCCAACCCAAGCCCCAAGTAGTGTGGCTCGCCCCAATCCTCCTACCCGGCTACACCACATGCGCACTCGCTCCTTGAATAACATTTTTAAACCAAAAATCATTTTCCAAGCTGTGTCCCAGTGTCCTGCACCTCTAAGTGAACCCACTTGTGTGACACAAGCTCTTAAAGATCCCAATTGGAGACGGGCTATGTCTGAAGAATTTAGTGCTCTTGTGCATCAAGGTACATGGGAACTTGTTCCTCCATCTCCTGATCATCATTTAATTGGTTGTAAATGGGCGTTTCGTTTAAAATGAGCTCCAGATGGTAGTATTGAGCGTTATAAGGCTCGCTTGGTTGCCAAAGGCTTTCATCAACGTCCCGGATCTGACTATTTCAACACATTTAGTCCTGTTATTAAACCTACTACTATTCGTACTGTTTTATCTATTGCAATAAGCCAGCAGTGGGTTATCCGGCAATTGGATATTAATAATGCCTTTTTACATGGTCATCTTGAGGAACAATTGTTTATGCAGCAACCAGCAGGGTTTGTTGATCCTCGTTTCCCTCAGCATGTGTGCAAATTGCGGAAGTCTATATATGGCCTGAAGCGAGCTCCCCGAGCATGGTTTAATGAGCTTAAAAGTTTTATTATCTCTCAAGGCTTCTCTCAATCTAAGTCAGACTCGTCTCTTTTTATTCTTCACAAAGGGTCTACTTGGATTTATTTTCTTATCTATGTTGATGATATTATAATTACAAGAAGTGACTCTTCAACTGTTCAGTCTCTTATTCAGATCATGGGAGCTCGCTTCTCCTTAAAGGATTTAGGGCCTCTCAATTTTTTTCTCGGTGTTGAAGCAATTCCCACTGCTGCTGGTCTTTTCTTATCCCAACATCGGTACATTACTGATCTTCTCCAGCAGTATAACATGCATGAGGTCAAGCCTGTGCCCACCTCGCTTGCTGCTTCCACTTCATTGCATCTTGGTTCTGGTTCACCTCTTTTTGATGGTTCTATTTACCGGCGGCTTCTTGGCTCCCTGCAATATCTTGCTCTCACTCGTCCGGATCTCTGCTTTGCCGTGAATAAGCTATCTCAATTTATGCATCAACCCACTGATGCTCACTGGTAGGCAGCTAAACGTGTTCTTCGCTACTTGCAAGGGACCCGATTTCATGGGGTGTTGTTACGACCTCAGAGTGCTCTATCCTTGCATGCTTACTCCGATGTCGACTGGGCTGGCGATCGTTCTACCTGCGTTAGTACCACTGGTTATTTGGTCTTCCTGGGCTCAAATCCCATTTCTTGGCGCGCTACCAAACAGAAGGCCGTCGCTTGAAGCTCCACAGAGGCTAAATATCGCGCCTTGGCATCTGTTGCTTCTGAACTGGTTTGGGTTCGCAATCTACTATCAAAACTTGGAGTTTCTGGTCTTGGCTCTCCTGCTCTGTTTTGTGATAACATTGGTGCCACTTACTTAAGTCTCAATCCCGTTCCTCACTCTCGGATGAAACATATCGCTGTTGACTTACACTTTGTTCGGGATTTAGTCGAGAAGAATGTCCTTCATGTTTCTCACATTTCTTCTCATGATCAGCTTGCTGATGGCCTTACTAAGGCTCTGTCTACTGCTCGCTTCTCCAGTTTGCGTTCCAAGATTGGTGTTGCTGATGGCACCTCCATCTTGCGGGGGCGTGTTAAGGCAACTGCATCTCCAGTTGTTACCACGTGATCAGCAGTCAATGAGACCATGATTTTAGGATTCATTCAATCTGTAATCTATATGTTTATCACACTGTATCACATATTTAGTTTCCATACCAGCTAGGATTTTGTGTATCATATATTTAGTTTCCATACCAGTTAGGATTCTGCGTTGATGCCTCTGTATATATATTCTTCATAAGACAGCAATAACATACAGCTTTGTCTGCTTCAATCTATAACCTTACAGGTTTAACTCGACTCTGAACCAATTTAGATGCTTTTGTGATGGTGGGGATTTCTGTCCTCCCCAGATGCCAGTTGTTCTAGCAAGCCAGTTCGATACTCCGAGCACTCCGCCTATTCCTGATCCTATACTTACCCCTGCTATGTGTTTTCTACCTTGATTTTCA